GGCTTTACTTGGTAAAATACAGGCTATAAAGCAAGAGGCGAATCTTTCTTTCATCCTTAGGTTTGAATATCACCTCTTCCCAATCTCTAGTTATGAGGCTGTGGGCAAATTAGTTAATTTCTGTACATTTTGTTAAAGATAAAATCAGAGTGAAAAATAGTATCTACCTCATAGCATTTTTATAAGATTGCATAGGATGGTATTTGCTAAAAAAATTTCAAACAGTACCTAAAATCTATATTTCATCGAATCTAAGATGCCATCAGTTGTGAGATATACCACTATTATGTGTATTCCTAAGACGGAAAAGCAGTGCCAATTATAATTGTAAGGTGCTATTAGTTATGTCACCTCCTGATGTGTTAAAAGGTGAAAAAAAATATGTATCTTAAAATCAATGAAGTACAATAGTTGTTGCTGCATAAATAATTAAAATTCTGGATCAGGCAAGTTGATTATTCAGGGTAGTGTGGACCAGTTGTAAGTTTGAATAGAAAATAATCCATTTCTACTTGTGAGTGGTTGCAGAGAAACAGAGTTCTAAGTAAACGTAGCATTACTGAATGTCCAGCTCATTTCTTGACTGTTCCAAGAATATATTTTTAATTTTCTTGGTGAGGTTAAAGCTGCTTTCATTACAGACTCTCAAGGGTCATTTAGTAATCTAACCATGGCATGATGGTTTTTAATGGACTGAATGTCTGTATCCTCTCCAAGTTCACATGCTGAAGTCCTAACCCCAAATGTGATTGTATTTGGAGAGATGGCCTGTGAGATGGTAATAAAAACTAAATGAGGTCATTTAAGGGCATGGCCTTAATCTGACAGGGCTGGTGTCCTTATTAAAAGAGGAAGAGACACCAAAGCTTGTTCTGTTCTCCATGTAAGGACACAAGGTGGCGGCTGTCTGCAAGCCAGGAAGAGAGCTCTCACCAAGAATCAAACAGGCTGACATCTTGAGTTTGGACTCCCAGTCTCCAGAATGATGAGAAAATACATTTCTGTTGTTTAAGCCACCCAGTCAATGGTATTTTGTTATGGCAGCCCAAGCAGACTGAGACAATGACCAATGGGAGAGTGCTTCCTGAGAGACAACTGTGAATGAATCATCCTGGCCCCTGTACATGGCTAGTCATTAGCTGTCAGGGAATGTTTGAATGGAAGTTTCTTATTTGCAATTGGAAACCAAAGACAGGATCTCCCTTCCAATCTTTCCCAGCCCTTCCTTTTCTGCTCACTGAGTGCTAAAGTTTTATACTACTTTACTGAGATTATAATTACTATTTATTTAATTTTACAATTGTATACAACTACCTATGGGAAATCAACATTCTTGTTATGAACATTTAATTAGGCTTATCATTTTAATCACTTCTCCATATTCATGCTTTCTTAAGTAGTAGATTGAAAACTTTCTCTTTTGCTGGTAGTTTGATTCTCTGGGCACTGGTTCTGTCTGTGTGTATTTTACAAATGAAACTTGGCCTTAGCATTTGTTCTTACCAGTAATTGAATTTTGCTGCCATCAACATTGAAGATGGTATGGCAGTGATGGTCCAGAAAAAATTCAGAATAATACAGAGGTTATTGTTTGGAAAGCATGTCTTTATGGATACAAAGTCTGAATCATGGAATATTTTTAAACTTGTTTTATTTTGAAACACATGCATCAACAGAAACCAAGCAAAGCATTAACCAGTGGGAATCCTCAGGGAAACCTCTTTTAATGAGTAGATGAAATTGCTTACAATTCACATAACAATTTATATGTAAATGGATGTATCTGAAAATTATGAGCACACTCAAGGGTACTTGAAAAAGTTGTGTTTCCTTAATAATTTCTGAACAGAACCTCTACAATCTTGTTTACGTTATTTTTATCAGAGCAAAGACAAGTCTCTCCAGCCTGGTATAGACAGAGTTGGTATATTAGTTATCTACTGCTGTGTAACAAAACACCCCTAATCTTGGAAACCTAAAACAGTAACCAGACCTTATTATTTTGTACACAGCTTCTGAGCATCAGGAATCTGGGAGTGGCTTTGCTTGGTGGTTCTGGCTTAGGATTTCCCATGAGAGTATAGTTAGGCTGTTGGCTGGGGCTGTAGGATCCACTTCCACATGTGTCCATGTGATCAATGGCAATAGACTAGTTCTTGGCTATGTGGGCATCCACATAGGGCTGCTCACAACATGGTTTCCCCAGAACACATGATGAACATGAGTGAGGGTGCCACTGTCTTATCCCCTAATCATGTATGTGGCAAACCATCACTTCTGCTGTGGTATGCTCTTGTCACATAGACCAACTCTGGTTTAATGTGGGAGGGGCCCACACAAGGACCCCTCTTTTGCAAGTTTACTGACACAGCTGTTGTCAGGACGCTTCTGTTTCTTACTACCTAGGACTGTCTGTAGGTCTGCTCATGCCAGGGTTTCCTGTGAGTGAGTGATCTGAGGGTCTGGAGATGACAGCCACCTAATTTTGGACTTGACAAACCAGCACATCTGCTGCATGCTATTGGTCATATAGACCAACCCTGATACCATATGGGAAGGGACAGCACAAACATGTGAATACGTGGAGGTGGGGATGACAGGGGAGCATCTTAGAGCATGGCTGCTGTAGTTGACACGTGACCTAAGCCAGGCCAGTCAGATGTACCCCTTCCTAGAACTGACACATGGAGCAGAATGACAGATTCAGAGTGGAATTACTCAGGTTGAGCCATGGGAGTGGTTCCACTTATGGTTAAGCTACATTCGCTCTTCATTCTACAAACTCCTGATTTTCCAGTAAAATCTCTTTGCATTAAGTTAGCTCAAATCAGATTTTGTTGTTCCAACAAAAGACTCCTAACTGATAAAATGGATTCCAATGTAAATTACTAGATTGGAATTGGAGACATCAGTGTGTACTTATGCTGTACCTGCACACATAATTCCTTGACCTATTTGCTGAGAGGGCCCGAATCACTCCCTACTTGTAATGAGTAAACCTACACATTGAGATTCAGGTTCCTAAATCTGATGCCCCATGAAAAGTAATCAAGGATTCTTGAAGAAATGATGGAGGCAGGGAAAATACCAGCTAAGTCTGGAACATCTTGAGGGTCAGAAGGTTAGTAAATTCTCAAAGAATGATGGGAATTTGACACAGCTCCTCCTGCCTAGATGTAGGACAATACGAAGGGTCTCCTCTTGTCCAGATCTGGGATGATTTGAACATTAACACAGAATCAATCTTACAACTATAATATTGATAACTGATTCAGGTGGAAATCATCAATGGGTACTAAAACTAGTAGATGAAAGTTTGATAAAGAATGGGATATATTCATAGTCTCACTAATATATCTCTCTCAAAATGCTTACTAATTATAAAGGGAAAAATAATACCTTTACAATGGAGAAGCCTGACAGATACCACCCTAACCATGTAATTAAAGGTAATAACACGGATAATGGAGAAAAAAAGACATTGTTTCCTGATATGATGCACTAAGAATATAGAATCAGTGCTGGGGAACTCTGCTAAAAATGCATGGCTTGAATATAATCAAGAAGCAGCATCACACAAATCCAAACTGAGGGACATTCTGCAAACTAATTGGCATGTAACTTTTGAAAAATGTCAAGGTCAAGAAAGAAAGACTGAGGAGGAGTTTCTGAATAAAGAAGGCTAATGAAACGTGACAACTGAATGCAATGCATGCACCTTGGTTGGATTCTGAGCAGGGGGGAAAATAGCTATAAAAGGCATTATTGGGAGATTAGCAAAATTTGAATATAGATTGAACATTACATAGTAGCATTGCATCATGCCAAATTTTCTATCTTTAATCATCATGTAACCTCATGTCTTTGTTTTTAGAAAATACACAGTGAAGTAGTTAGGGGTAAATGGGCATCATGCTTGAAACTTACTCCCAAATGGCTTAGAAAAACATGAGAGAGTGAATGATAATGCAGATGGGGCCACATGTTAACAACTGGTGAAACTGGGTGAAATGTATTATTAGTTAGCAATCGCTGCTGTAACAAAGTACCACAGATTTAGCAGCATGTTTCTGCCGGTCAGAAGTCTGGCACTGCGTGGCTGGATTCTCTGCTCAGGGTTTTGCCACTGGGTTCAAATCAGGGTATCAGCAGGCTGCATTCCTTTATGGAAGGCTCTGGGGAAGAATCAGTGTCCAGGCTCACTTTGGTTATTGGCAGTTCTTGAGGTTGTAGAAATGAGATCTCCATTTCCTTGACATGTGGCCCCTCCATCGTCAAGCCAGTAATGGCACCTGGTGCTCTTAATCTGTCTGCTTTTCAAGCTCATTTGATCACACTGGCCCCACTGGATAATCCAGGCTATGTTCCCTCTCTTAAAATCAACCAGTTGGCCAGTCACGGTGGCTCGTGCCTATAATCCCTGCACTTTGGGAGGCTGAGGCAGGCAGATCACTTGAGGTCAGAAGATTGAGACCAGCCTGGCCAACACTATGAAACCCCATCTCTACTAAAATACAAAAATTAGCCTGGTGTGGTGGCACACACTTGTAATCGCAGCTACTCAGGAGGCTGAGGCAGGAAAATTGCTTGAATCCAGGAGGTAGAGGCTGCAATGAGCTGGGATCGCATCACTGCACTCCTGCCTGGGTGACAGAGTGAGACTCTGTCTCAAAAAAACCAAAAAGCAACCAATTAATTTCAGTCACATCTGCAAAATCTCTCTTGTCATGTAATTGACATAACATAACCATGGGTGTGACCGCAGGGGTTGAAGATCCTGGAGGCCTCATTTCTGCCTACCACAGGTTCACAGAAGCTTTTTACACTCTTCTTACTGCCTTTATATAAATTTGAAATGACATGGTATCAAAATAAAAAGTTACAAAGACTCATAAGCATAGCAGGGGAAGTTGGAAAATGTCATCATAGCATCGTTCTGGTTGTGGTGGTGTCATTTCCCTCTAACAGCACTGGGTCTGTTTTTCTCCATTACCTACTAGGCCACCACCAAATCAAGCAAGGGACCTGTGAGGTGGTCGCCGTGCACAGGTGCTGCAATAAGAACCGCATAGAAGAGAGGTCTCAAACGGTCAAGTGCTCTTGTTTCCCGGGACAGGTGGCAGGCACAACTCGAGCTCAGCCTTCTTGTGTTGAAGGTAAGACCTCTCTGGTCAGTATTTCTGATAGGCGGAAACCCACCAGGAATCTCCCTACTTCACTGTCTTTGCAACCCAAAGAAACCTAGGGTTGCTTTGAGATCAGTTTTAATCCAAAAGTGAACATAAATACAACTCCAAAAATTTCTTAATGACTCAGGTAAGTCTTCAATAATGTCCCTCAAGGGGTAACAATGGAGAGTTATATTATAGGTCAGTTGGGAAGATGTGCTTCAATTTCTTTTGCCCACCTGTCCCCAAATCTCACTCACCAAAGGAATTGTTTCCCCAGATGCTCTGTTCTCCCTCCTCTTATATGCCGTATTCAAATTTAGCAGTGTGACTTTCTCACTTCATGCTTGGTGTTACAGATTAGTATCCTCTTTATTACTAGTGTATCATTTTAACCAACATTTATAGGACATCCTCTTTGGAACAACTTCCCTGGGAATAGTTTGGAATCAGGTACCATTGATTTGTAATCTCCAAATCCCCTCGCAGAGCGCTGTGCCAGTGGTTAAAAAATATATATGAATGTTGATGGTTATAGGTAGAGGCTGGGATTGATTTCTTTTGATACCCCTGGCTTCTTCCAGCAGACACTGTGGTAGAAACAAGTGTCAGTCCCCAGGGGAACAGATACATGGGGTTAGTCCTGTAGCAGTTGCTCTGCAGTGTCATGAAAACTCCCTGAAAATGAACATGTCCAGTCTCATTTGATGTATGTCTAAAGGTCAGTAGTTAAAACACACACATTCTTAACTCCTGATCATATTGCACAGTGAACAATAACAGCTGATTTACCTGCAGCCCATTCCCCCTACCAAACACACACATAGATATACACAACTATGTGGGCTGTGTGGTTACAGTGGTATATATCAGCACCATCTCAGGCACCTTTAAAGCAGGAAAGTGAAAGTGGAAATTTTCCACCTGCGGTTCTTTACCAGAAACTTTGGGGGCCAAATGTGTTGCTGAATTCAGATTTTGTTCATATTTTATGTGGGTAACATAGTACATATACCATCTATTAACTTATAGACCTACTGTGTTCTCCACTTGTACCCCATAATCATAGAAATATTATGTCTTCAGTGAAATATATGAATATTCATGCAGGATGTGATAAGGCTGGATAAAGAACTTCATGTTAATTCAAGTTAGGTTTTGCTGTCATCTTACAGAAAACCTTTGAATTTCCAGAGCTTTTTGGATTTGGTGATTATTGATAAATGATTATGAACCTATAAAAAAAGATGAAGATCTTTAACATTTGAAAAATGGCATTTAAAAGAAATATGCTGAGTTTCTATATATCCAGCTAGGGAAGTCTAATGTATTTATCTGCTCCATCAGTTGTATCCAAATCACAACCATTCTGTCTCTTGGCTGTCTCTGATGTCAGCCCAGTTTTCTCCATCCCCACTGCTACCTCGACAGTCCAGGATCTAAGGGCACACCCTTAGATCTTGCTGAGTGTGCCACGCCTCTCCTTTCACTTTCCGTTCTGTAGCCAGAATGATATACAAAAATGGAATGGATCATGACACTCCCATAGTGAAAATCACAATTTAGTGTCTTCCCCCTGTCTTGAAGATAAATTCCAAGTTCTTTACCATGGCTTGCAAAGTCCTGTAAGATCTGGCTGTCTCAGTTCTCTTTCAAGCACTCTACCCTAGGCAATCTAGAGTTCTTCCCATTTCTTTTCATTTCTGCACGTTACTAATTTATATGCCTTGCCTGAATCATTGCCCTCCTTTCCGTGACACAAAACTAGTCTGTTTAATTCTTCCTATTCTCCTTTCAAATCTTTTTTAAGTTCTTGTATCATCTTGGACTTCCAGTTCATGATATTCATCCCACGTTGTGGTAAAAACATATGCCTTCCAGTTAGTATGTAAGCAGCCTGTGGATAGGGACGTGGTCTCTTAATTTGATCTTTCCCCATTGGCTGGCCCATAAACAAGTTTTAGCACAGTGGAGAATGGACTTTTCTAATCACAGATTGTTCTTCACAGGCAATGTGTTTGCTTGCCTCTGTAGGCCTTAAACATCTTGTAACAAATTCTTTTCATACTCTAACCAAGAATAATGTTTTACAATATTCAAAGCACTTTTATGGATACCTAAAAAGTACTGATAGGGCAGTGATGACTATTTGTATCTTCATCTTAATAAGGAAAATATGAATATCTTACCGCAAACTACCTTGTTTTAAATTTTATGTAAGGGCAAATCCCCTGTGGCCACCATCCTAAAGGTAACTTCACTTATCTGTTTGGTCAATAGATTTTTCTGTATGTTTGTGTATTTGGAGATAGGTTTGTAGAAAACAGTGGTAGATTTCAACATGAGTGTGTGTTTTACACAAATGCTATCACATTGGATATTTAACTCATCCTGCTTTATTCCTATCAGTATTAGGTTGCAGAAATCTGTGTGTGCTGGTACATGTTGATCTAATTTGGTGTTTTCAGTTGCTCCATAGCATTCCATGTATGGATAGGCCATATTATTTGGCCATTCTTCTTCCTTTTTTAATATAATGACAGGGTCTTGCTCTGTCATGTAGGTCGAAGTACAGTGGCATGATCATAACTCACTGCTGCCTTGAATTTCTGGGCTGGAGCAATCCTCCTACCTTGGCCTCCCAAAGTTTTTGGATTACAGGTGTGAGCCATTACACCAGGCCACCATCCCTTTGTTGATGGACATTTTGGTTGTGTTTATGGCAAAACAAACAGACTCACAGGTTAACTAAATGGTTTCCCTAGTGTCACAGGATCAGTGATGTAGAACAATCATGAAGCATCTGGACAGAGTCTATGCAGTGCTATCTACTAGAACTTTCTGTGATGATGCACTTGTTCCCTGTCCATCTATTTATGGAAATAACCTGTGTAGATAGGCCTCTATATGTGATGATGCATATGTCCAGTATGGCTAGTAGCTATTAGCCACCCGTGGCTATGGAGCATTTGAAATGTGGCTAGTATAAATTTAGATTTAATAGGCACTTGTGGCTCAGAGCTTCACATTGGACAATGCAGTGTATGCTTTATGTAAACATGTAACTTGAGTGTAACATTTGTGGTCAGAGAATACCAATACCCTGAAAGATGAGATTGTATTTTTCAACTTGTGTCTGCTATCCCAAATCCTGTCTGGCAAACAATCGGTATTCAATAAATGTTTATTGGATCAAAGTCACTCAGAAGTGTAGGAAGTTTAAGCTTTAGTTGGGATATATGTCCAATTTCATCTCTCTCTGATCTCTTCCTTATCTGAAATGTTTCCATTAGGGCTTTTTAGCTTTATCTGCTTAATCTTTATCCCATAATAATTATGCAGTATCATGCCTTTAATTGGCATGTGAGAAGACCTATTCTCTGCTGATATGTTCCTCTTATCTTATTTGTCAATAAGAATAGAAAGGATCTAAAATATAAAATTCACCCGAATTTACATTTAAATTAAAACAAAGGCAAGAAGGCGTTGGCATGGGGCACTAATTAATGCCAAAATAGAAACTAGAATATCCTTTTGCATTTCTCTTAACCCACACCACAGATACTTATCTAGTGTTTTCATTGCTTTTCCATAAAACCATAGCTTATATTATATAAACAGGGAGAATAATTAGCTGTTCCCCTTCTACCAAACGTTTTTGTTATAATTAACTTATGAAACCTCCCCCAAGTTATTGAAGTGGGTCTTTGATATACGTTGGAGTTTTGGGAGATTGGACAGGGAATTATTTGATTGTAAGGCTGTGGTTACTTGGGTCCTAAAACAGACAGTTGTTCAGCTGGTAAGCATTCTTCTTTTTGAATCTTCGGCCGGCATATACAGGGCTGTTTCATGGTGGAAACTATATTCTACACATTTATCAAAATACTGCTCTATAGAGATAAGGCTGAATGGTTTTGTGATAAAATTAGACAAATGTGTAGTACAAGAAAGTTTATTTTGTCAAAATGAATGCTTTCTAAATATTGGGTTTAAAAGAGATTAATAAAAGCTCAGGAATGGAAAGTAGTTAATTTTCAAAGCTATTAAAAATTTTTTGATGCCTCAATTTCTATCATTTTGTTGTTGTCGTTTTTTGAGATGGAGTCTCGCTCTGTTGCCCAGGCTGGAATGCAGTGGCACAATCTTGGCCCACTGCAACCTCTGCCTCCATGGTTCAAGTGATTCTCCTTCCTCAGCCTCCCAAATAGCTGGGACTACAGGCATGTGCCACCACGCCCAGGCAATTTTTTGTATCTTTAGCAGAGACAGGGTTTCAACGTATTAGCCAGGATGGTCTCCACCTCCTGACCTCATGATCTGCCCACCTCGGCCTCCCAAAGTACTGGGATAACAGGCGTGAGCCACTGCACCCGGCCCACTTTTTCAAGATATCAGAATTCATTTAGTAAAGAAGGAGAGTTACTGTTTGGACTGCAGACAATTTTCATGGCTTTATGGACTGTGTGATGAGACATAGGGTCTCTCTTTACAATATGTTTCTATTGGGACTTTTTATTGGGCATGTTCTCCTTCCACCTAAAAAGTATTTTTCTCAGTGAAGTCAGGTGAATGACAGAGAGGGTTTTACCAAAACACTGAGGGAGTTGGGAGGATTGTATGTTGCATATGCTGGTTCATTCATCAAGTTTTAATTTGGCACCTTTGTGCCTGACCTGCCCTAGATGCCAGACGGAAGCATGATAAGGAGACTCAGGTCCTGGTTTCAAGGAACCCAGACTTTACTAGTTCAGAGAAACAAACTCTCATTAATGAAGGACTCCAAGGGAGAACAGAGAGGTGGTCAGGGATGCTGCCCTTCAGATGAAATGGGTCTGAATTTAGTAGGTAGAAGGATATGATGGTGGAAGGAATTAGGGAACAAGGAAGCACAAAGCATATGAGAAAAAGTGGGGCTAACTTGGGAAATAGAAGTAGCTTTGTCTGGCTTGGAAACAGTCGAAAACAAAATCACAGCTTTTGATGTG